CAGTCCTCCCTGAGGAGGGCAGTCCTTGGGACATCAGTCCTCCCTGAGGAGGGCAGTCCTTGGGACATCAGTCCTCCCAGAGGAGGGCAGTCCTTGGGACTAATGCACATACTTGCTTAAATTTTCTCACTGGATAGAGACCAAGAGAAAAGATCTTACCTGGAGGAAGATACTGGCAATGCCCAGATGCATTCACCAAGACATTAGTGTGGAATGTGGCATCAAACCGTTCATCAGCACTAGAAACAGGAAAAGGATTCATGAGCCAGAACCTCCAGGCAGTGGGTTTCTTATTGTCCTTAGATTTGTTGTGCTTATGAGTCACCGAGTGGCAGCTTTTTGAAGGGTTCCTCCTGTAACTGGACAATCTCACACTTGCCTGGGAGAGCCATTTCCTACGAATTGTGATGTCCTGGTTTTCTTTCTGTTGTTGTGATTAAAGCAACTTAGAAAACACAGACTCACAATTCTAGGTTACAGGAAAGTTAAGGCAATAACTTAAAGCATCGCATGCAGAGTCAAGAGCAGGGAGAATAAACAAATAGCCCCCCATTTTCTTCCTCTCCCAGCTACCTTTTTCCTCTCTCACCCTGCTCAGGTCTCCCTGCCATTGTATAACATTATTCCTGAGGAGACAAACTAATACCTACTCATCCAAAGGGACCAAGGACAGACCAAAGTAAGGATACCACCAAAGTCCAACTTTATTGGGGGCTAATTACAGGAATATAAGTTAGGGGTTATTTACAGGGGCAGAAATGACTCAAAAGATATTGTATCATCAAAGTCTACCCCAGAGTGGGTGAGAGCTCAGAAAAGCTGGAAACATGGCATATACTGTATCATCTGCAGTGAGCTGAAGAGTTTAAATAGTGTCCTTTCCTGCTATTTCCTGCTCAGTGAGGCTGAGACTCTTCCAGGCTTCCTTGCTGTGTATTAGAACATCTCATGTCTCAGTGAGCATCCCTCTAAGACACAGGGTTTTATTTCTGAGGAGACTGCTATACAACACCTGCCTAGGGAATGGTACTGCCTGCTGTGGGCTGAGTCTTCCTAAATCAATTAGCAATCAAGACACCCCTTTCCCATGCACACCAACATGGCCATGGGCCAACATGATCTACACAATTCCTTGAAAGGTGAGTCTATATTGTGTCAAGTTGACAGGTGACTAACAAGTACAGATGTTTTCCATCATGTATCCAATACAAAGCTCCTATCCAACATGAAACCTAAAGGCAAGAGATGAGAAGTGTAACATACCCACAGGAGACCTCGTGAAGCAGGGAATTTACCGGTGACCAAAACTCTAGTTCCAATCTCTGGAATGGGGCTCACACTTGATTAGTGTTAACAGATGTTGTTTGAATGACTAAAACCACAGGTGCAGGGTCTGGGTACCAGCAGGGCCCCAGAGATTCCAGACAACAATGATGATAAGGTGGTGGACAAATTATGTGTTTTACATGAATGCACCCCAGCTTTATCCCCTATGTTTAAACTTCCTACAGAAAGAAGTTATGATTGGAATAAAGGAAACACAAGCACACCAGAAAGATAAAGCAACTGTTAAAACTAACAGCTTGTGCTGTGCTAACCATCTCTTACATTTTCTACATTCTGATGTTCTGAGATCTCAGATGGCCCTGCTGGGGCTTCCCTCTTGGGATCAGGCAGTTCCTAGAGAGAGAGAGACCAAGTGTACCAGTTTCTTTACCGTTGCTATGATAAACACTACAACTAGCAGTAACATGGGGAGGAAAGGGTTTCTTTGGTTTGTAGGATACAGTCTATCAACAAGGGAAGCCAAAGCAGGAATCTAGAGGCAGACTGTAGGAGAGGCTTACTCCCTTGACCTTCTCTGCTTGCTTTCTTATACAAATACCTGCCCAAGAGTAGTGTATTTGTTACTATTGCTGTGATGAAACACCATGACCAAAAGCAACTTGAGGAAGAAAGGGTTTATTTCACTCACAGTTCCATGTAACAGCTCATCATCAGAAGTAGTGAGGGAAGGAACTCATGCAGGGCAGGAACCTGGAGGCAGGAACTGATTTAGATGTCATAAAGGAGTGCTGCTTACTGGCTTGCTTCCCCTGGCCTGCTCAGCCTGCTTTCATGTGGATCCCTTAACCACCAGCACAAAAATGGCGCCACCCACCATGGGCTGGGCCCTCCCCCGTCAGTCACTAATTAAGAAAATGCCCTATAGGCTTGCCTACAACCTGTTCTTATGGAGGCATTTGCTAAATCAAGGCTTCCTCCTCTCTGATGGCTATCTGTGTCTAGTTGACATAAGACTAGCCATCTATGACATAAGACATAGTCCACAATGGGCTGGGCCCTCACACATCAATCAATATCCAAGAAAATATCACATAGATAGATCTATAGGCCAACCTGATGGGGTTAATTCCTCAACTGAGGTTCCTTCCTTCCTTCTAGGCGATTCTACTTTGTGTCAAGGTGACAAAAAGTTGCCAGCACACCAAGCTTCAAGAGTCTCTTTTAAATCTAAATGGACCAAACTAGAGCCACACCCCTACCATCTACTCTATAGGCCTCTCATGCTCAGGGCCCTCACCCCAACGCTGCCAAGTGGAAACTGTCTCTTAGCACCAGAGCTTGCTTCATTACTTATGTTAGCCAATGGTAAACCCATCTGCCTTTCAGGATGATCAACCCAAGGAAACCAAAGCAAACACCACTGCCTACTTCCTTCCTCTTCTGCGCTTTCTGCCTCACATCCTACCCAGAGCTTTGCCATGTTCCCCTCCCAGGGTGCTTCACATCTTGCTTTGGGAACTCCTTGGAAAAACACAAAACAAAACAGAACAAAACTTGCTTAATGATAGTCATGTTCTTGTTCCCACATCAGACCATACTAGATTAAAGTCAATTCTATGTATCCTTAAAACACCACCCTTTATGTAAATAAACTACCCCAAGTAAACACCTGCAGGTATGGGGAGACAGTTCAATGGGGTCACCGGAACCCAGCACTCTAAACAAAAAGCCAGGCATAGCTGTTCACACCTATAACTACAGCACTGGTGGGCAGAGAGACAGGTGGCTCCCCAAGCTCTGTAGCGAGCCTAGGCGAAACGGTGAGCTTCCAGTTCAGTGAGAGAACCTGTCTCAGGCAACAAGGTGAAGGATAACAGAGGAAGACGACACTGGATATTCTACCTGGCCTCTGCACATGTGCATGCGCACACACACACGCACACGCACACGCACACGCACATGCACACATACACCTCTAAATAAATAGAAAACCCAGGCATCCAGTCACCTCGCTAGCCACAGAGTTCCTCTCACTTTGACAACCAAGGACCCACCTAGGGCTGCCCATGTGGACAGCTCCTCAGGCAGTCTGTTTTGCGTCCAAGGTCCCTCAGATGAAAACTCAAGAGTCACAAGGCACCAATGATCCATCTTCCCTGGGAACCACACAATCATGGGTCAATGTGGTGGTATTGTGTTCCCCAAAATATTGTGCACCCTAATAAATTTATCTGGGGTCAGAGAATAGAGAGCCACTAAATACAGAGGCTAGAAAATGGTGGCACTCATGCCTTTAATCCTAGCATTCCTGAGACAGAAATCCCTTGATCTCTGTGAGTTCAAGGCCACATTGCAAACAGCCAGGCATGGTGACTCATGCCTTTAATCCCAGAAAGCGAGCCTTTAATCCCAGGGACTGATGACAGGAAGCAGAAAGGTATATAAGGCGTGAAGACCAACTAGAAGCATTTGGACTGGTTAAGCATTTGACCTGGTTAAGCATTTGGCCTGGTTAAGCTTTCAGGCTTCTAGCAGCACAGTTCAGCTGAGAGCCATTGGAATGAGGACACAGAAGCATCCAGTCTAGGAAACAAGACCAGCTGAGAAGTTGGCCAGGTGAGGTTAGCTGCAGCTTGTTCTCTCTCTGATCTTCCAGAATTCACCCCAATACCTGGTTGGTCCGGGTTTGATCTTATTAATAAGAACTTTTTAAGATTCATGCTATAGGTCAATATTTTAAAACAATTAAAAACGTAAATAAATGTAAAGGATAGAAAATTACTTCCTAAAAAGAGGAATATCCTCCCCAAATTCAAGAATATATTACAATTAGGAAAACAAAAAGCAACATAGAAACTAGAGCTGTGCTTGAGGAAATGACAACAGACAGCAGGAGGTTCCACTGGTAAGCGCCAGGGAGGACAGCAGAACAGAAATGGTGCAGGCACGCCCCAAAGGACAAGGCCAGCGGAGCCCACATCACTGACAGAGCTCCACTACAAGACAGCAGCCGGAGTGGGTGGGAGGGAGGGAACCGCCGAAGGAGGAAGGACACAAGGGGATTCTCTAAGCCGAAGGAAACCATTCAAGTGTGAAGGCAGAGAGACATATTTACAAGAACATGAAGGCCGCAGAGAGCTAGAGTCCCACACACCTGTCCTTGGGCAGGGTTAGAAGATACTAGGGTAAAAAGAGTTCGGGGGAGAGAGAGAAAGACAGAGAAAGAGTCTGTGGGGGAGAGGGGGAGAGGGAGTGAGAGAGAGAGAGAGAGAGAGAGAGAGAGAGAGAGAGAGAGAGAGAGAGAGAGAGAGATTTATACACTCAACTGGGAAGGGAGAACAGGGCCACTATGATGTGTGATGCAGACCACTGGAAAACCTGGGGCTAAACTGGAGAGAGCCACTCTTGGATTGGCATGAGATGTGAATCAGACAGAAGAAAGTGTGTTTTGAAACACAGACTTTTGATTTTGTTTCATTTTGTTTGAAGGCAGTGTTTTGCTGTGTAGTCTAGCCTAGCCACAAACTCAGAATCCTCCTGCCTCAGTCGTCTCGCAAGTGCCAGGACTGCAGCTGTGCACCACACCTGGCCAACATCATGGATCGGGTTAGAGGCACATTTAAAAAAAAAAAAAAAAAAAAAAAAAACAAACCTCCTAAGAGGCAGTTCTGTCACTGCCACGTCCACTCTTCTCTGTGCAGTGTGCTCAAAGAACCTCTTATTCTTCTTTCATTTTTCAATCTTACAGCAAGGGGTGGGGGAGAAAGGACAGAAACTCAAAGGGGAAAATGTTCAAGGATGTCAAGATACAGATACAAAACAAAGCTATGATGAAGTTTAAAGGGAGGGAGGGAAGCGATTCATCGTGGATGGGCGGGACAGTAACAAACACATCTACCACCACACACCCAACTCCACAGGGAGACAAAGGGGGGAGACACTTGGCTACATC